CAACAATGTTCTTAAAGTTCTACCACATTAGTCAATGCAAATATACAAATTGGAAGATTTTTAAAAAGAGAAAAAGTTATCATTACATACAGTTGATGTCAATATACTACAAAGGTCAGAAAAATCAATTTTATACCACACACATGCATCACATAGACTACAGAAGAAAACTACCACATGCCAACTCTACAATAACAAACAAGAAAAGCCCAAAACTACCAGAGGGGCAGGGATCTGCAGAAAATTTCCCCAGGGACAAAGTGCTGACAGATGCCATTTTTCTCACCTTTACCCAGCATAGATAGCCAAATGCTTCTGGGAGCAATTATGATACTCTTCATCCATTTACCTGGCTAGCTAGCACCACTTGCTCCATCCTGGCATTCCTCTGCAAACCCACCCCACCCAACCATCTCACAAATAAGGGTAGGCATCCCTCCAAAGTGACTCCTGACTTGGGGGTAGAGGGGATAACCCCATATACCAAAGTGCCCATACTTAGTGCCCACGGCTGCTGGTCCTCTCAGCTGGCTGTGCAGAGAGCAAGTCCTGCCCTTCCTTGCACCTGCAGCTGCAGCCATTGCAGCAGCTAACTGCAGACAGCCATACTAATTGCTGGCCCCATCTACCAATAAACCCAAGGTGGTAAAGCCAGGTCTCTTAATAGCCAGAGGAGCAAACCCTGCCCAGTGGGCCCACAGCAGGCAAAGCAGATCATTGTAGCTAGCTGGGCTAAGGGCCAGCCTGACCGACCAGTGTGCCATAGTAATCATGGCTCAGGAGGGCATATGCAGTAGTGCAGGATTGCCTTATAGGAAACCACACAAATCCACTACTTTCAAGACCAAGAGATATAAGTGACCTACCTAATACACGAAACAAACACAGAGAGTCAGACAAAATGAGGAAACAGAGGAATATGTCCTAAATGAAAGAACAAGACAGAATCATGGGCGGGGCAGGGGGAAGGGCAAATAAAACAGATAAGCAATAGCCCTGATAAAGAGAGCAAAGTAATAGTCATAAAGATACTCACCAGACTTGAGAGAAGAATATTTGAACTCAGTGAGAACTTCAACAAAAAGACAGAAAATATAAAAAATAACCAGCCAGAAAATTAACAAGTCAGGAAATGACAGATGCTGGCGAGGATGCAGAGAAAGGGGAACCCTCCTACACTGTTGGTGGGAATGCAAGCTGGTGCAACCACTCTGGAAAGCAGCATGGAGGTTCCTCAAAATGTTGAAAATAGAACTACCCTATGACCCAGCAATTGCACTACTGGGTATTTACCCTAAAGATACAAACGTAGTGATTCGAAAGGGCACGTGCACCCAAATGTTTATAGCAGCAATGTCTACAATAGCCAAACTATGGAAAGAACCTAGATGTCCATCAACAGACGAATGGATAAAGAAGATGTGGTATATATACACAATGGAATACTATGCAGCCATCAAAAGAAATGAAATCTTGCCATTTGCGACGATGTGGATGGAACTAGAGGGTATCATGCTTAGCGAAATAAGTCAATCGGAGAAAGACAACTATCATATGATCTCCCTGATATGAGGGAGAGGAGATTCAACACGGGGGGTTAAGGGGGTAGGAGAAGAGTAAATGAAACAAGATGGGATTGGGAGGGAGACAAACCATAAGTGACTCTTAATCTCACAAAACAAACTGAGGGTTGATGGGGGGAGGGGGTTTGGGGGGGGTTGGGATTATGGACATTGGGGAGGGTATGTGCTATGGTGAGTGCTGTGAAGTGTGTAAACCTGGCGATTCACAGACCTGTACCCCTGGGGATAAAAATATATATGTTTATAAAAATTAAAATTAAAAAAAAAAACAGCCAGGGTTAATGAATATAATAACTAAAATGAAAAATATACTGGAAGGAATCAACAAATTAGAGGATACAGAAGAATGGCTCAGGAATCTGGAAGCCAGGGTAATGGAAAGCAACCAAACTGAACAACAAGAAAAATAATGACAAAAATGAGAATAGATTAGAGGGACTCTAAAACATCATCCACTGTAATAATATTCACATTATAGGGATCCCAAAATGAGAAGATAAAGAGAAGGGAGTAGAAAATTATTTGAAGAAATAATAGCTGAAAACATTCCTAATATTGGGAAGGAAACAGACACCAAGGTCTGGGAAGCACAGAGTCCCAAAAGGAAGTCCAGACCAAGACACAGAATAATTAAAATGGCAAAAACTAAAGATAAAGAGGGAATCTTAAAAGCAACAAGAAAAAACAAGCCATTATGCTAAAGGGAAATCCCACAAGGATATCAGCTGATTTTTCCACAGAAACTCTGCAGGTCAGAAGACAGCATGGTATATTCTAAGTGCTGAAAGGAAGAAGCCTACAATCAATACTCTACCTGGCAAAGTCATTCAGAATTGAAGGAGAGACAGTTTCCCAGACAAACAAAAGTTAAAGGAGTTCATCACCATTCGTCAAGTGCAAAGAAAAGGCCACAACCAGAAAAGTAAGAAAACCATGAAAAAAAAATTTTCCCCATTGGTAAAAGCAAACATATAGTCAAGACTTAAGTGTGAGACCTGAAATTTTTCACTGGTAAAAGCAAATACATAGTCAAGACTTAAATGTGAGACCTGAAACCATAAAACTACCCAAAGAAACACAGGCAGTAATCTCTTGGACAATAGCCATAAATATCCATATTTATGGATATGTCTCCTCAGGTAAGGCAGGAAAAAAAAAACCTAAAATAGACTACTGGAACCACACCAAAATAAAAAGCTTTTGCACAGTGAAGAAAATCATCAACAAAACAAAAAAGCAACCTACTGAATGGAAGAAAACATCTGCAAATGATTTATCCATCAGGGATTATTACCCAAGATATATAAAGAATTTATACAACTCAATCCAAAAAAACAAATAATCCCATTAAAAAGGAGAGAACCTGAATAGTCATTCTTACAAAGAAGACATCCAGACGGCCAAAAGACACATGAAAAGTTGTTCAACATCACTAATCATGAGGGAAATGCATATCAAAACCACATGAGATATCATCTCATACCAGTCAGAATGTCTAGTATCAAAAGACAAGAAATAACAAGCATTGGAAAGAATGTGAAGAGAAGGGGCGCCTGGGTGGCTCAGTGGGTTAAAGCCTCTGCCTTCGGCTCAGGTCATGATTCCAGGGTCCTGGGATCGAGCCCCGCATCGGGCTCTCTGCTCAGCAGGGAGCCTGCTTCCCTCTCTCTCTCTGCCTGCCTCTCTGCCTGCTTGTGATCTCTGTCTATCAAATAAATAAATAAAATCTTAAAAAAAAAAGAATGTGAAGAGAAGTGAACCCTCGTGCCCTGTTAGTGGGAATGTAAATTGGGGCAGTTACTATGGAAAACAGTATGGAGACTCCACCAAACTTAGAGACAGAAATAATATATGATCCAGGATTCCACTACTGGATATTTACCCAAATGAAATGAAAACACTAATTTAAAAAGATATATGCACCCCTATGTTTTGTTGTAGCATGATTTATAATAGTCAAGGCATGGAAACAACCTATATGACCATCAGTAGATGAATAAAGATGATGTGATACACACACACACACACACACACACACACAAAATAGAATTTTACTCAGCCACAAAAAAGAATGAGATCCTGGCATTTGCAACAACACAGATGAATTGAGAGGGCACTATGTTAAGGGAAATAAGTCAGACAGAGGAAAGATAAACATTCTATGATTTCACTTATATGCAGAATCTAAAACACAAAACAGGGAAGCCTGGGTGGCTCAGTCGGTTAGGTGTCCGCCTTCACCTCAAGTCATGATCCCAGAGTCCTGGGATTGAGTCCTGTGTTGGGTTCCCTGCTCAGCTGGGGGCCTGCTTTTTCCTCTCCCTCTGCCCCTCCCTGGGCTCTTTCTCTCTCTCTTGCTGACTCTCTCAAATAAATAAAATATTTTTAAAAAGTTACTATGTTTTAACAAATTAGTCATCATCTAATAATCAAGTCTAACTAGGCAGAACTACACATAAAGATATATGTAAAAAATATTGTCTAAATGTACAGGGATGATTTTAAAAAGCCATACAAGGGAATACACCCAAAGACTATTAAAAATGATCTATTCAAGGACTATATACTCACTTGAAATGCAGCTAAAACAAAGAACAAGAACATACTGCTTAGTTTTTGTATGTATGTCTCTTAACGTTTTCCAATACATTTTTCTGGTAACTTTCCTTTTACATCATACTTTATAATGGACTGTTTCACACCTTACTTGCCTTTCCACCACATACAGAGCTACTGGCAAAAATCTTACCCGTTCTTATTTCTACTTACTAATAGGTCCGGTCAAAATCGAGAAAGAAGGCTCAAAAACTTTAGACAGAAAATTATAAGAAAAAGGGTTTGGGGTTATACATGGATTCAAATTATCTGTAGCTATCCCTGTTCCTCACTTGCATTAATCATCAAGCATGTGGAGAAAGTGAGCATTAATGAAAATCTTTTTTAAGTTTTTTAGAGAAAATGAATACTATTTAGATCCTAAAGATTACAGGTGCTTCCTTTAATTATTAAGATATTATGTTGTAAAAGATCATCTATATGTGATGCAATTCCTCTTTCTTCAAGGAACCACACTCATCACAATTTATTAAACAAGGCCTAGGACAAGGATGTGAAATTTATTTTCATTAATCTTAGTGTACATATGATCTTTGTCATGGACCATGAACTTAGAGGCCTTTTTTTTTTTAAGATTTTATTTATTCATTTGACAGACAGAGATCACAAGTAGGCAGAGAGGCAGGCAGAGAGAGAGGAAGGGAAGGAGGCTCCCTGCTGAGCAGAGAGCCCGACGAGGGGCTCGATCCCACGACCTTGAAATCATGACCTGAGCCGAAGGCAGAGGCTTTAACCCACTGAGCCGCCCAGGTACCCCAGGCCTTTTTAAGAAAAGTAAGTATTAATTTAATTTACACATACCCTTTACGATCATTGTACATTCTGTTAATTCTGTCCCATTTTGCATTCAGCTGAGTTAGTGTATCCCGGATCTGAATGGCTTCAGGCCCGGAAGCTCCGAGGATGACATCCGGCTGTGCTTCATGAATAACTGCAATCTGCTCCCCGAGTCTGTCCAGTTGATCTTTGACGTTCTATAAATGTAGTATCGCACATGAACAAAATCCAGCAGAGACATAAGAAGAATGAAACCACAGAAGACCAAAAATTTATCTTGCATGACATTTATTTTAAATATAATGAGATATAATAATTGTTGCTTATCAAAACTGAAAACTTTAAAAAAGAATAATACCCTGTATTGGCCAAGTGTGAGAAATGCTACCTAATACCCTAACGGCAGAAAAGGAAATCCTCACAGTTGCACAAAGCAGTATTTGTAGAGGACATACAAAAAGCCTCAAGAGTATTCTGTAAAAGTAATAAAGTGAGGTTGGAATGATTTACATTTTCAAATATGTAGTAATGCTAACTTAAATGACAGAAATGAGCTAGCAAACATCAAATCTATAGCGATTTACTGCAAATTTATACATAAGTGCAAATTATATGAAAAAGCCTTGATAGTATTTAATAGTCTTGTGAGTAACTACAAACTTCCAGATCTCTACTAATGTATAAGCAACACGCTACTCCATATCTCAAACACTGGCCCATCTTAACTTGTTATAGATGACAACATAAATGTTGATATTTTACATCAAACTCACAATCAAGTTTATAAGAAAGGAACATGGATCGTGCATGTGTTTGATTAAAGAAGTTTTTGATGTTGCCAAGAATGAACAACTGTGCATACTTAAAAATCCATGCCTACTCTTAAAAAATTCAAAATTTGATATTTCCTGGGGCGCCTGGGTGGCTCAGTGGGTTAAGCCGCTGCCTTCGGCTCAGGTCATGATCTCAGAGTCCTGGGATCGAGCCCCGCATCGGGCTCTCTGCTCTCTCGGGGAGCCTGCTTCCTCCTCTCTCTCTGCCTGCCTCTCTGCCTGCTTGTGATCTCTCTGTCAAATAAATAAATAAAATCTTAAAAAAAAAAAAAATTTGATATTTCCTTGGTGAAATGAGCAAGGTTTATTATTTGCATCCATTATTAATTCTTTAGTACAAATTTTAAAAATTATAGGCCATCTACAAAGGCACAAGGACAGATTTCTTGCTTTATTCTGCATTAACAGTAGCTACTCAAGGGCACCTGAGTGGCTCAGTGGGTTAAGCCTCTGCCTTCCGCTCAGGTCATGATCCCAGGGTCCTGGGATGGAGCCCCGCATCAGGCTCTCTGCTCAGCAGGGGGCCTGCTTCCCTCTCTCTCTCTCTCTCTCTCTCTCTCTCTGCCTCTCTGCCTGCTTGTGATCTCTATCACATAAATAAATAAAATCTTAAAAAAAAATAAAAAAAAACCAGCAGTTACTCAAATCAGGTGCCTGGATATTTACCTTCAGAGAGTCTTCCTGAAAAGAGAAGTCTTCATAGGCAACAGTGCTTAGCTCGGGTGCACTGAGTGATAATTCAGCATCATCCATGGAAAGTAAAACTTTGTTAATCTCAACTAGATAATCTGTGGGGAGAGGTGGCGACTGAATTCCAGGAGCAAGCTGACCTGTTCTCCTTTGGTGATTAGAGGCTGCCTGTAAAAACAATAACAATAAGACACATCTCTTAAAATAGACTCACAATGAACAGCAGCAAATAGAAAAAAAACACAATACTATTTGGTGGAGCAATTCAGTACCATCAAAGGGGAAAAAAAAAACGAGTTTTATGTTTTTATATTTTTGCCTGTATTGCTATAGAAACCCTTGACAATCTCTATACTCATTTTCTTTTGCAGCCTGCAGTTAAACAGTATAAATAAGTTAAAGCTTGACAGGGTTTTCTTTAAGAAGTGTGCCACCTAAACTCATTTAGCAAACAAGAAAATGTAACAACCCCTTCCTGAATTGTTGGGGGAATGAGACTATACCATAAATCATAAAGTTCTGTAGGAAATAAAAAATTTTAATACCATTTTACTCTGTAAAATGTCATGATTAGATGAACTCTTCTGGGCTTCAGTTACAGTTTATTAAATGTGCTATCTATTACTTGCAAATAGCAAAGTGCATCTTCTCATGAATTAAGGTAGCTTCCATGATGCTTTCACTGTTTTCTCTATTAAACTTCTAAAAAAGGACAGTTCTCTGAGAATTCAAAGATGGCAGTGAATAAATACATGTTCAATGAGGTAGCATCCTGAAAATGGCTATGGTTACAATTCCTAAATGAAACTGAGACTCAAGACTAAAACCAGTTAAGTCAACAACATGGTGTTGAATCTAGACATCTGCATTTATGTGTCTCCTAGAATGCGATGAAACGTGTTCACCTATTGCTGGATAGTATAGCAGGAGAGAAGCAAGCCAAAGATTTCCTGATTTTATCCACGTGATTATTTATACTGGACACTAATATTAATTTTATTATCCTGATGCCATGCCTTCAAATTTTAGTCAGAAAGCATTTCTGGATATTTACCTATATGTCCAAGAAGGTAAGTTATATTTTTAAAGCAAATATAAAAGAAATGGAAAGGTCTACAGGTATTGTAGATAGGAAGTTCCAAATTAAAAAAAAAAAAAAAAAAAAAGGTCACATTCATGAAAGACCATCTTTCTCTATTCAGACTATAAAGATAACCTAGGATTTCCTGAGCCTTCATAGTCTTGCAGAAGCAGCAAGGCAGTTCAAAATTTAAACATGTGCTTTCTTTATTCCAAAAATAGATTTTATCCTAAGAGAGTGATCAATCAAAATGTCCTAGGAGAAGAAAAAAAAAAAAGTCCTCGAGATCCGACCCAGACTTTACTTCTGGATAATTTTATTTTTAAAGAATTCCGCTAGGACACAGAAATGCAAATATACCACAAGCTAATGCTAACATTCAATACTGTTACATGATGTTGCTCAAGTCATACACAACCTAAGTTCCAGATAAACAGATTAAAAAGTTAATTTTATCTGAACACTTAATTAAAAGTTCCTGTTCTGTTTTTATCCAACCATAAGGAAAAACCAGGACTAAATAGAATTAAGTATCTCTGTGGAAAATAAGAACTTTTCAGATCCTAAGTAGGCTGGAAACACACACACAAACATACACAAATACAGTCATATAGGGCTAAACAAAATTTTAAATGGTTTTATGTTAAGGATAAAATAATTTGAAGATGAAAAACAACAAGATAATACTTAAGAGCAAATATGACAGGAGACCAATATCTTTATTTTATAAAGAGCTTACACATATTTTAAAAAGAGCAAACATACCCTCATAAACAAATGGGAAAAGGTCATTAAACACACATTTTAAGTAAGAAAATGAGTCCTAAAAACCAGTGGTTCTCAATCCTGATGGAACATCAGAATTACTTAGAATGTTTGCTTGTTTGTTTAAAGAGTGTTCACAGATAAGCCCAACCTAAGAGATTTTGATTTAACTGGTTTGTAAGTTAGATTTTTTTTTTTAAGTTCCCCAAGAGATTCTAATGTTCATAGATAAGAAACAGTTTTAAAAAACTGCAAGTCTGAAGAAGCATATGGGCTAAGGAAAAAATAAGGACAAAAACTTTTTAAGCATTTTAAGAACATTTTAATTACAATAACTAATGCTAGTGAACCCAAAATGAATTGTGCCTGTTGTAGTGTATATTAGTACTCTTAAAAAACAAATTTATGCATTTGTTAAAAGTCCAAGAATCATTTCCATTTTGGACCAGTAATGATTTATGATTTCGGACCCAAAAGTTCTAGGAAAGTAAGATACTTTCAAAAGTAATAATAAGGCAAAGAACTATAATATCATCTGAAAAAATCTTAGGAGTAAAAATGGAGCCAAGTCTTAAAAGATAATACATTTTTCAGGTAAAATGAGATAAAACCCATACCAAGGAGTTAAAAATAAAATTAGCAAGATCCCAAAGGTGTAAAGGCACCGGTGTGTTTGGGAAAATGTGCAGAAAACCAGCAGAACTATATGCCTGGTTAAGAGCCAGTGAATCAAAGTGGTAGCTGGAGGCCAGATAGAAGCCTTAGTGTATCATTATAGTGATGAACCTTGCACTTAAAGCTTTCTCTGTATTTTGCAATATTTTCCTGCATACTTTCTTAGATAAAGGAATGTCATGACCAGCTATAACTTTGAGGGGAATAATTTTGAGAACTAAATGGAGGATGGGCTAGCATTAAGAAAGACTGGACATTTAAAAAAAAAAAAACAAGAACAAAAATCAGCTTAGGACATATTACACTGACTAACAGGAGCAAATCTTAAGTGTGAATTACAGAAAGGATAGTAGACTAAGAGAAATTCCATCCTTTCCCCAGGGTCATAAGGCAAGTAACTGGTAGAGCTATGTCTAACTTTAGGTTCAGATATGTCATGCTTCCATTCAGAAGACATGGTTTTAATACCTACTTGATGTGGTGTAAGGAACAAGAAATGGTTGAGAAGATTTTGAGGTTTCTACTTTGAGAATAGGTAGTTTTTAAGGAAATAAACAAAGATGGGGAATAAATTAGGAAACATGGATTGGAAGGGGAAGGGAGAGGACAAGTTTAGCTTGGGACATGTCATAAGGCTGCAGTACATACAGATAGAGACATCTAACAGGCAGCAAGCTCAGAGAGTAGAATCTTCCACTAGATTCAACGTCATCAACTAAAAAATGGTTCTTAGAAGGATTACCTAAGAACAGACTTGGAGAGAACAGCAGCACACTTAGAGTGCGGTTGAGATGATGGCCATTGAAAAGGGAGCTGGTAGTGAATCTTTTTCTAGAACACAAATCATAATTTATCAGTTCACAAATTTAGTTATTTGTAAACTAAAATTTTTTGAGGTGATTAAGACCTCCACATATGAAACACAGAACTGAAGGAGGAAGTCACTTCTAAAAAGAACAGATGTCTTTTAGATTTAAGACATTATTAGAAGTCCAAAAGAGGTCCCAATAATAAGATTTTGTTTCTATTTCCTTTGAGTCCTGTCCCATCTGAAAATATAAATGTTATTTAGTAGTGCATACCAGAAAGGATAAAGAGATACTATGCCATCTGCTTTTTAAGGTATCCATGAATGCAACATTGAATATCTGAATGGCAAGAGCTAAATAAGTTATTTAAGGAAAACAGAGTCTCTCCCAAGATAGTACCTTAGTTTTATTGTATCTTGTGCGCAAAAGTAGTAACTGCAAACGGATCCTTTCTTTTTTATTATCCTCCATAGGTTGATATAACATTTGTTCACCTCTTTGTAGAACTTCCTCAATCTGGGCTCTCTCCTCATCCACCTGAAGTTTAATAGGAAAAATAGCTTACTCAAAAGAAAAATGCATACAGCATCACTTACTTGACAGTTCCCAAGCAGAACCAACTTACAAAGTATGAGATCAGTCAAGATCTGTTCACCTGAATAAGTAACAAAAATTCATTTTTTTTAAGTATTTCACATCTGAAGTTAAAATATCTCATAAAGAATGTTAGTTTAGAGGAAGTTAGAGAACACAGAAACACTACCTTTAGTCAAAAAGCGTGTCTATTTTTTTAAGCATCATGTAAATCACTTGGCAAATCTTACAATGACATGCAGCAGAAAATCACGTATGGGCCTATTCTTTGGCATGACTTGGCAGACTCTTTCAGTAAACATCACTGATGTAAAAATATAATTAACAGAACAGAACAGTAAGAACACCATGGTTTTGAAAATCTCCTTGAACCAACCTTTTCATCTTCATCACTGAATTCTAAGTGTTTTTCCACAACTTTTAACATATTCTCTATGTCACTTTCTAATTTTTCCAGGTCAGAGAAATGTACATCAGCTTCAAACGCTTCAGTGGTGACCAGACGTTGGTAGGATAATGGTTCCTGGCCAATTAGCAACTGCAGAAGGAAAAGTGTTCTTTGAAAAGATAGTCTTTTTTTTTTTTTTCTTTTTAAAAGATTTTTATTTATTCATTTGACAGAGAGAGAGAGAGAGAGAGA